GTTACCTAAAATATTTATCTGGTTACTTTTTTATGCCGGTTCACTAATTAGCCCATCAAATGCAGTTAATTATAAGAAGACCTTTGAAAAGATTGAAGTAAAATTTTAAGTTACATACAATAATGTAAATATTTTTGTTACAAGATCATTTTAACATATTACAATAACAACAAAAAATTAACTACACTGGGGTCGGAAAAAAAACAGTGTACATAGAGAGCTCTTAGCTCTAAAGAAATACTAGTGGTCTAGTGCCTATAATCATTTATTAATATCTAATCTTTTGATTTTCACGTTGCAGCTGCTTGAATAAAGAACTTGGAGTTGCAGAAATTTAACAAGGTAACATGAGAACCTAATATATATATACAGACAAAAGGACAAGTCATGGATTGGCACAGTGTTGAACTTAGAAAAATTTAGTTAGTGCGAAGCTGACCAGTTGCTCTGTATTTTGCATCCTTCTTTTTTAGTAATCGTCTTTTAGGAAAGTGATCATACCCTTTCTTCTCTCATCTTCCCATTCTGCAGTTTCAACATATAGCTAGCTAGGTTTCATAAAACACAAGAATTTAAATAAGTTGGAATGACGGTGGAAGAGTCAGCTCTGCTAGCCGACCAGAATAAAAGGAGTAGTGGTGGTCCGAGGTTTAACCGCAGATCAGATGTTATTGCTTCAGGTTCACCTTATCAGAAAGCTGCTGCTTTAGTTGATCTTGTACGTCCCTTTTAATTTCTCTGCTCCTTTTAATTTGTTTGTTCCACAATTTTAAGCCACATGTAGGCTCTGAAAATATGGAAAGCTATCTTGATGCTGTTTAGTTTGGTTTAAAGCAACATTTTAAGTGAAATTCAATCAACAAATCAAGAAATTGTCTGCACAATTTAGAGGGGGCAAATCAGAGAAATCGGGGGGGGGGGGGGGGGGGTGTTCAATCTTCTAAACTCCAAGAGCTGCCTAGCAATTACAGAGATGTCTCCTTTTATTTGAGTGGGAGTTGGTTACAGTAACCTAACTTCTTACCACTGAATCTGTTGTATTTTTTTGTAATTATTGGTTCAAAATTTAGTATTTGTTAAAATTTTAGTAATTTTTAACATATATTTATGCTCCGTGTAAAAATTACTGGCTTTAATTAAACCATTATTGCATCATTGCATTCGCCTACGCTTCATGATGCAGCTTGTGGGTTATGCGGAGCTAGGGGGCACAACTGTATATACAAGGTTCAAAGATTATTGTTTGTATATAAATAATAGATGTTGAATCTCCTCGGCTTCTTTCTGTATTTACATTTTTATATTTGAATCCCCTTAGTGAAAATTTTGGCTCCGATACTAGGGTTCAAGGTCCACTTTACTGGAAATTTTGATGTTTTCTGTTTAGCAATGTCTGATGAGATATTAAGTCTGCAAGTTACGCATGCAGGCTGAAGATGGCGTTGGTCTACCAGAGGAAATTCTTGAGGGATCGAGCTTTGAGAAGGCAGCACCATTGTACTTCATGTTTACTGATTTTCACTTAGTGATTGGGACATTTAATTCCCTTGCGCTAGTCATTCTAAACTTCCTTGAGGTTTGTAAAGTTCTCTTACTGCCCTATCCCTGCTTCAAATTTTCTTTTTTCCCGGTATGTTGACTTCCCACTTGTTCTTAGAACTGACAGTCTTAGTTTCATTGTTTTCCTGTTTCACTTTGCTCAGAGACCACTGTGGTGTTTTAAGCATTTAGCCGAGTCTTGTATTAACAGAGACTACTATTATCTAGGAGAGCTTCCATACTTGACTCGTACCGAGTCCCTTATATATGAGGTAATGTTTGTAAGCTGGTTTATTTGTTATATTTAGAGTTTTTGATATCTAAAGCTAGAAGCTAATCTTTTAAACAGAACGAATGGATGGTTCTGAATATTTCCTAATCTATGGAAAATTTTATTGATTCGACTATCGTTAAGTTTGATTATTTTAAGAGCTATCCTCAATTAGGAGTAGTTGCTGCCTCCTAGTGCCGAGGCATGATGCATGAGATCTTATTTTTTTGCTGCATGGAAACTGAAATCACTTTGCTACAGGAAGCTCGAAAATGTGAAACAAAGACTTCCACTTCATACTTAAAGCCATGGATCAATTATCATTACATGAGAAGTAAAGGCTGTTCTATTATGGCACCATGAGCTTCTTTTTTTCATTCTTGTTCTTGTTGCTTACTGGTTTCCCAGAGAAGTTAGACGAGGAAAAGTCATTGGTCCATTATTAAGTAATAAGGGCCTACTCTGGACGCATATAGTACTACAGCTATGCACTTGGCGAGGTATCTTACGAAGAGTAACTTCTTTGGTGACTTATTAGGCTATAGGAGACTGGTGTAAAATGTAAAAACATTAGCACTAGAGATCTGTGTACAGCTTACCTTATTCTTCCTGGCTTTGCTAACTTTTTCTTTCAAACGGTCTTCTGCAGGGTGTTACTCTTATAATTCTTATGATACACATTTTATTTCCAATATCATATGGAGGCTTCCATCTCTACTGGAAGAGTCTTCTTAACAGAGTGAAGGTATTTGGAACCAGACTTCCGCGTTTCTCCTTATGAATCTTCATATTTTTTTTCAATGTTAAATTATTTCAGTTCCTCCTCGTAAATGTATCACTAGTTTGTGAAGATAAATGTTTTTTGATAACTGAGAAAACCTCGAGGGCCAGTGGCGCACGGTTCGAAACTTGGTGGATACTGGGCCCACCCCTCTACCCTTCATTTTAAATACCAAGCTTTTGCCTGCGGCAAGGTTCGAACGTCAAAATCATTTTCTATTTTCCCTCTTTCTACTTTCCCTTCCAATTTGTCCACAATCGGAGGGTAAGTCTCACGTAAAAGTTCTCTGATAAACCCCCACGAAGTCAACTGTGTGAATCCTAAGCAACTCTTGGTATTCTGGTTGCACTTTTTTCTGTAGAAAACTGACCTATAACTGGATATTCCATAAAGCATCTTGAGAAAAGAATTTCCAGAGGTTGGAGTTGGTGAATCAATTTGCTTGAAACTCTCACAGAAACTATAGTTAATTTTCTTTAGTAACTTCTTTCATTTTTGGCTTGATTTTTCAGGTCATTTTGCTGTTTATCTTGGTTGCAGATATTGTCGTCTACATTGTTTTCCCCGTAAACTACTATCTTCCATTCCGCATTGCACCGTATCTCAGGGTGGTGTTCTTTATTTTGAACAATAGGTACGCCATAGTAGGATTCCTACTCTTTTACTTTCCAAGTTTAGTCATGATCTCTTTGACTCTTTGTTCATGTTTATGTTAATAACTTTCTTTACCCAGACTTCTCCCTCCAAGTGGTCTCACATTTTACATTTTTAGTAGTCTCTTTTCTTTTACTCAACTATATGAAATATAATCAGAAATAGGACGATGATTATCATGCACAATACACAACTTCAGCTATGCGTCTGTTATACACGAAGATATTTGGAGAAGTGAGCTTTTAATGTTGTCTTCCAAAATATCAAGCAAATCTCATATTGTTCTATTGCTTTAGAAAATGATAGTTTCATGAGTATGTTTTTTCATTCTCCTTAATGCTTTCATTCCCACCCTTCCCCCACCCTACCGAGGAAGGAAGATGAGCCTGATCTTCTGTGGTTCTATGAAATTACTATCTTGCAACTTTTGAAAGGAATGGAGTCTTCAAATATGATTTTAATGTCCTCTCTCTCTATCTCTCTCTGAGTCCATTATCCCGCTTCTACTTCTTGAATGAGCTTCAATTGTGACTTATCAAAACAAAAAGAAAAAGGAATGAGCTGTGATTGTGTAAGGTATGTTTTGGACAACGGACATGCAATAAGCCTGATGAATATAATTGATTGTCCGCGTATATTACATTGTATTACAACAAGGGCTCTCTTGGTAAAAGACTTAATGCCACTTCTATTGCTCTAATCCCTGATGATCAATAGAGTTTCTTCTGATCAGGTCAACCTTTATGCAGACAACTTAGCTTCCATCGAGCTCACCCAACAATCAAAGGCATGTAAGATAGCTATGTAATTTGGAAGATAGCTTTTTTAACCTTCTTCTCGACTGGATGCCCACTGTAGCACACAAACACCCCATCTCACCCCTTCACCACCACCATGAACCATGAATCCTAGGATTCCACCACCACCATCCGAGAACCAACCCTGTCGCGACACTACCCCAGAAAGAATCGCCGGGATTTGACACTCCACGCGCCGTCACGCGTGGCAGATCTCCGACCACCCCTAGCCCACGCGCCGGCGCGTGACGCCTTTTCAGGCCAGATCCCAACTTTTTTCCTTCGGACAGCCTCTTCGCGAGGCTATTCCGACCTCACCCATCCATCAACCTCCAACTTCCGATCACTTTTGCTATTTTCCGGCGACGGAGGTGTCTTTTTCCGGCCAGATTTCACTCCCCCTCACTTTTCCTTCTTCAGTCAGTCTCCTTGCGAGGCTCTTGGTTTAGCTATGACGGACTCTACAGAGAGAAGCTCCTACTTCTCCTTAGAATCNCGAATGATATAAATCAAAATGCAAAAACACTAACGTAAGTCTGAAACATATCTGTAGCCAACATTGCTTAACATGAAAAGCCTGCGAATCTGTTTAACTGTTATTCTAGTCTATGAAGCCTCTAATGAAGTATTGAGAACACTGATTGTCTGTAAATATTGAAAGACTATAAAGTAATGATAATGCCCCAAAAAAATTGGAGCTCACTATTCATTCTACTTCTAACTATCCCACAGGTGCAGAAAGTACGGCCGACGAGGTTTCCGAGCAGGGGGAGCAACCTGAAGAGGTTATTGAGCAAGGGAGCAACTTGATGATGATGTTGAGCAAGTGGAGTACCCCACTCAGGAAAAAAACAACCTCTGAGGAGATCAGAAAGACCAATGGTAGAGTCATGCAGGTACCCTTCCACATAGTATGTCCTCATCAGTGATGAGGGGAAGCCAGAAAGTCTTAAGGAGGTGTTGTCCCATCCAGAAAAGAACTAGTGGATGAAAGCCATGCAAGAAGAGATGGAATCTCTTCAGAAAAAATGGCACGTACAAGCTGGTTGAACTTCCAAAGGGTAAAAGATCACTCAAATGCAAATGATTCTTTAAACTTAAGAAAGATGAAAATGGCAAGCTGGTCAGATACAAAGCTCGATTGGTGGTAACCGTGATTAAAAAAGCGCTCGCTTCCTCGCTTTAAGCGAGAAGCGATGCGAAGCGACTCAGTGCCCGCTTCACATGGGTGAAGCGACTCAGGTATAAAAAAGCGACCGCTTTCCACTAAAAAGCGAGAAGCGACCAAGCGATGCGATGCGAAGGAAGCGACCGCTTCTTTGTTTTGAAAGAGACCCAGGCTATTTAATTAAAAACGAAGTTGTTCTGTCTTTTATTCTTCAACTTCAAGTTCAAGTCTTCAACAGCAACAGGTATGTTCTGATTTTCCTCCTTCTTTTTCTTCTTCTTCTTCTTCTTCTTTTTCTTTCACTGTTTCAACGTCCAAATAGCAGCGAAATGTTGGCGAATTTTTTTTTTACCTTCGATTCTTTCTCATAATTGATGCCAATCCTTGGGTTCTTCTTTCTCTGCCCAGTTTTTAACAGAGAAAAACTGCCCTTCCTCTAATTTTTATATCCTTTACATTGAAGTATTGAACATTTGCTTACAATTACATGTGTTGTCTATGCATTATTTATTTTAATTTTTTTTTTTAAATTCCGCTTCACTTCAAAAAAGCGAGCGCTTCGCTTCTCGCTTCACGCTCTTCACAACACTGGGTGGTAAAAGGCTTCGAACAGAAGAAAGGTATTGATTTTGACGAAATTTTCTCACATGTTGTTAAAATGACTTCTATTTGAAATATTTTGAGCTTAGAAGCTAGCCTAGATCTTTAAGTGGAACAGTTGGACGTGAAAACTGCGTTTCTTCATGGAGATTTGGAAGAGGAGTTTTATATGGAGCAGTCAGAAGGATTTGAAGTAGCTGGAAAGAAACACATGGTGTGCAAATTGAATAAAAGACTTTATGGATTGAAGCAGGCACAAAGGCAGTGGTACAAAAAGTGACTCATTCATGAAAAGTCAAACTTATATGAAGACCTATTCTGATCCATGTGTATACTTCAAAAGAATTTCTGACAACTTTATTATTTTGTTGTTGTATGTGGATGACATGTTAATTGTAGGAAAAGACAAGGAGGAGCTGATTGCAAAGTTGAAGGGAGATTTTTCCAAGTCATTTAATATGAAGGATTTGGGTCCAGCACAACAAATTATGGGGATGAAGATAGTTCGAGAGCGAACAAGCAGAAAGTTGTGGTTGTCTTAGGAGAAGTACATTGAACGTGTACTGGAACGCTTCAACATGAAGAGTGCTAAGCCAGTCAGCATACCTCTTGTTAGCCATCTGAAGTTAAGCAAGAAGATGTGTCCTACAACAAATAAGGAAAAAGAGAGCATGGCGGGAGTTCCTTATTCTTCAGCAGTCGGAAGCCTGATGTATGTAATGGTATGCACCAGACCTGATATTGCTCATGCAGTTGGTGTTGTTAGCAAGTTTCTTGAAAATCCTGGAAAAGAACACTGGAAGCAGTCCAGTGGATACTCAGGTACCGTAGGAGACTGTTTGTGTTTTGGAGGATTTGATCTAATCTTGAAGGGCTATACAGATGCGGATATGGCAGGTGACCTTGATAACAGAAAATTCACTACTGGATATTTGTTTACTTTTTCGGGGGGAGCTATAATCATGGTAATCGAGGTTGCAGAAGTGTGTTGCACTTTCTACAACTGAAGCGGAATATATTGTCGCTACTGAAGCTGGTAAGGAGATGATATGGCTGACACGGTTCCTTCAAGAACTTGGATTGCATCTGTTAGATATGTGTAGTCCCACATTGGAATGGGAGTAATATGTACTTTGTAGACTATAGCTATAAATAGGACCTCTTGTATTATATTGAGTATCTAACATCAATAATATATTTTTCTCCCGTGCTTTCTCACATGGTATCAGAGCATTAGTGAGAAAAGATCGTTGTGCGTCATTCCAGCGTTAACCGGGAAGAAACAACTTAGTCATCGTGCAATTTTTCCGATGACCTAAGGCTTGTCTACGTGAAAGTCACTTTCTGTCGGTGTTGTGCTAAAACCAACACCACCACGAGGTATATCACCCTCCGATGACCAACCCCTGAAAATTTATCCATCCCCTCCACGCGCCGGCAACAACAACTTTTCCAGCGAGGGTTCCGTCCAGTTTCAGGCCATTTTTTCGCGAAGCTTCTTCAGGGCATTCTGCTCTCCTCACAATTCCGAGCCTATCCCCTATTTCAAGTTAACCCTACTACTACAAATTGTAGCGACATGGGAACCGATACTTTGAATAGTCGGATGGTTTCTTTAGCAGATTATATTGAGTTCCTTCAGTACAAAGCATGTAAGCAGACATCGTCTTAGATAGCTTTTGTTGTTCAAACAGGTAATAGCGTGACTTGTTTCTCCCTCCTCTGAGTCTTGGGTCATTGATTTAGGTGCATCAGATCATATTTTTGGTAACAAATCTCTTTTCACTACTATTTCGTATTCTCCATCTCTTCCAAGAGTTACAATGGCCAATGGGTCTCAAACCATGGCAACTGCAATAGGTCAAGCAAGCTCACTTCCTTACTTACCTTTAGATTCAGTCATTTATGTTCTCAATAGTACTTTTAATCTCATAGTTGTTAGTCGCTTAGCCAAATCACTTAAATGCGCTGTTTTATTTCTTAATGACCATATTTTTATACAGGAACGCAGTACGGGGCGGATCATTGGTACCGGACGTGAATCAAACAGACTTTATTTCATGGACTTGCTAAATCACATGGACTCACATCTTGTCTTCCTTCAACAACTTGTCCTTTTACTGATTCACCAAATTTATTACATAAACGGTTGGGACATCCCAGTTTGTCAAAACTTCAGAAAATGGTATCTAGTTTATCTCACTTGTCAGCTCTAGAGTGTGAGTCATGTTAGCTCGGTAAGCATACTCGCTCTCATTTCCCTCGGCGTCTTGATAATCGACCAGAGTCACCTTTTACTTTAGTCCGTTCAGATGTTTGGGGTCCTAGTCGAGTCAGTTCCAACTTGGGATTCCACTACTTTGTCAGTTTCATTGATGATTATTCCAGGTGCACTTGAATATTTTTGATAAAAAATCGATCTGAGTTTTCTATTTTCCAGACCTTCCACGCTGAATCAATTTGGGGTTTCTATTCGCATATTTCGTAGTCATAATGCACGAGAGTATTTGTCTTCCCCATTTCAGCAGTTTATGAAATCTCATGGGATTATTAATCAAACATCTTGTCCGTACACATCTCAACAAAATGGGGTAGCTGAAAAAGAATAGACATCTTATTAAAACTGCTCGTACCCTACTCATACAATCTCATGCTCTGTTGTATTTTGGGGGGATACAGTTCTTACATCTTGCTATCTTATTAATCATATGCCATCTTCAGCTATCCAGAACCAAGTTCCNTTCCCATTCATCTTCCTCTACATCTCCAGCTCCACCACCTACAACTCCAATTGTAGCTCCACCACCTATAGCTTCAGTTCTACCACCTACAGCTCCAGTTGTAGCTCCACCACCTATAGCTCCAGTTCCTCCACATAATCCAGTTCAATTTTCTGCAGCTCCACTACTCTTGACTTATCATCGTCGTCCACATCTAGATCAGGCCCAGGTGATTCACGCCCTGCATCAGATTCTGCACCTATTGCGTATTTATCTCCTCTTAGTCAACCAATTGCACTCCGCAAAGGTGTACGATCCACACTTAATCCGAATCTCACTATGTCGGTTTAAGTTATCATCGTCTGTCGTCACCTCATTATGCTTTTATATATTCTTTGTCCATTGTTTCTATCCCTAAGTCTACAGGTGAGGCACTATCTCATCCAGGATGACGACATGTTATGATTGACGAGATGTCTGTTTTACATGCGAGTGGCACTTGCGAGCTTGTTCCTCTTCATGCAAGTAAGTCTACTGTTGGTTGTCGTTGGGTTTATGCATTCAAAGTCGGCCCGGATGGCCAGGTTGATCGGCTTAAGGCTCGTCTTGTTGCAAAAGGATATACTCAGATTTTTGGGCTTGATTATAGTGATACTTTCTCTCTCGTGGCTAAAGTAGCATCTGTTCGTCTCTCTTTGTCCATGGTTGTACGTCATTGGCCTCTTTATCAGTTAGACATTAAGAATGCTTTTCTCCACGGTGATCTTGAGGAAGAAGTTTATATGGAGCAACCACCTGGTTTTGTTGCTCAGGGGGAGTTTAATGGTTGTATGTGCAGATTGCGCAGGTCACTATATGGTTTGAAACAGTCCTCGCGAGCTTGGTTTGGTAAGTTTAGCACAATTATTCAAGAGTTCGGCATGACTCGTAGTGAGGCTGATCACTCTGTGTTTTATCGGCATTCTGCTCCTAATCTGTGTATTTATCTAGTGGTTATGTTGATGATATTGTTATTACTGGCAATGATTAGGATGATATTACTAATCTGAAGCAGCATCTCTTTCAGCACTTTCAGACTAAGGATCTGGGCAGATTGAAGTATTTTCTAGGTATTGAGGTCGCTCAGTCTAGCTCAAGTATTGTTATTTCATAGCGGAAGTATGCCTTAGACATTCTTGAGGAGACTGGAATGATGGGTTGCAGACCTATTGACTCTCCTATAGATCCGAATGCTAAGCTTCTGCCTGGACAGGGGGAGCCTCTTAGAGACCCTACGAGATATAGGAGGTTGGTTGGCAAATTGAATTACCTCACAGTGACTAAACCTGACATTTCTTTTCCGGTGAGTGTTGTAAGTCAGTTTATGGATTCTCCCTGTGATAGCCACTGGGATGCAGTTGTTCGCACTTTTCGGTATATAAAATCAGCTCAAAGCAAAGTATTACTATTCGAGGATCGAGGCCACGAGCAGATTGTTGGGTACACAAATGTTGATTGGGCATGATCACCTTTTGATAGACGTTCTACGTCTGGATATTATGTTCTAGTGGGAGGTAATTTGATCTCGTGAAAGAACAGGAAACAGAATGTAGTTGCTCGATCTAGCGCCGAAGCTGAATATCGGGTCATGGCTATGGCAACGTATGAGTTTGGGTCAAGCAGTTGTTCAAGGAGTTAAAGTCCGGAGAAATCAACAAGATGGAACTGGAGTGTGATAACCAAACTACTCTTCATATTGCGTCAAATGCGATGTTCCATGAGAGGACTAAACACATTGAGATCGACTGTCACTTTGTCAGAGAGAAAATAATTTCAGGAGATATTGTTACAAAGTTTGTAAAGTCTAATGATCAACTAGCAGATATTTTCACTAAGTCTCTTACTGGTTCTCGTATTAGTTACATGTGTGACAAGCTCGGTACATATGATGTGTATTCACCGGCTTAAGGGGGAGTGTTAGTTATGTGTAATCCCACATTGGAATGGAAGTAATATGTACTTTGTAGACTATAGCTATAAATACGACCTCTTGTATTATATTGAGTATCTAACATTAATAATATATTTTTCTCCCGTGCTTTCTTACAGCATCAAAAGGGCGTGTGGTCTAATGTGACAGCCAAAATGCAATAGACCTAAGCAAAAACACCATGTATCATGCAAGAACAAAGCATATTGACGTGAGATATCACTGGATTCGGGAAAAGATAGAGGACTGATCTATGCAGGTCAAGAAGATTCCTACGAGTGAGAATTCTTTAGATATGTTGACAAAGGTGGTACCAAGAGACAAGTTTGAGTTGTGTAAAGAACTTGTCGACATGCACTCAAGTTAAAAGTCCGGTGTTATATCCTTCCAGTGAATGGGTCTGGAGGGGGAAGATTTGTGGGGTCCATCCCCATAATTGAAAAAGAAAAAAAAAAGGGAATTGCATGATGCCAAAACAAGTTTTGGCCTTGTTGGTGACGGTGACAACTTAGCAAATGTAAACCAATTCTGATTGGTTAAACTTTCGGTTGCTTTACCTATAAATAGAATGGCTTCTATTATATACACCAATCTCAGAGGGAAACATATTTGAGAGTAGTGTGAGGTATTCGCAGGCGGTGTAGTTTGTGAGGGAAAATAAAAAGTGTGAGCGATATTGTAGTGAGGTGGGAATCTCAAAAGAGAGTTATTTCTTTTGAGTGTATAGTGGTCCCTGGAGTAATTTACTCGAGACTACGGAGCGTAAAATTTTTCATTATAGTGGATTAATTTGCTCCTCTCGGGCCCGTGGTTTTTTCCCTTATTAAGAAAGGTTTTCCACGTTAAAATCTTTGTGTCCTTGTTGTTTTCTTTATTCTTGTTGATTACCTTATCTCGGTACTACGTTATTGTTCCGTTGTTATTACCGTGATATTATTTTTGTGGGGGGGTTATTCCCAACAGTTTATAAATCTGGTTGATTTATCTTATTAAATTGTATACCGAATGTACTGCGTTAGCACTTGGACTGATGTTTTTTGTTCATCCGCAACTGTTTTGCTCCTACCTGTATTTCTTAGAATTATCTCTCTTCCTACTTATCTATAACTTATGTAAGGCTTTATTTGAAAGTAGGGGTGGCATGTGGGCCGGGGCCGATCCTAAGTGGGCTTCACGGGCCCGGTCCTAAGTGGTCCGGTCCTAAGCGGTCCCGGGCTTCGCGGGCTTCTCGTTGGAACCGGTCCGGGACCGGGACCACGAACTAGCGGTCCCGTGTTAAGTGGGCCGGTCCNGATTTATGTACTATATATACATCTTAAGATATATATATATATATATTTATATACTATCGAATATGGCTTAAGATATCTCTCTCTATATATATATATATATATACTATACTATATATACATCTTATATATACATCTTACTATATTAAGATGTATATATAGTATATCGTAAGATATATACTATCGAA